CTAGCAGCTAACGGCTAACAGCTACTTGACGTTAGCTCGACAAGTTTCCTCGAAGCTAACGCTAAGTTAGCTGCAGCCACATTGTTGGCCCGTGGGAGTCGTTAACATGGAACCACGTTATGAGAACTTCTTAAAACTACCGTGGAAATACAAACAAGCTATCCAGAGAATATTCGCCTTTAACTGAATGTGTGTTGGGCCTTTGGTTATTTACCCCACTATCAGCAGCTTCCTCCCAACTTTCGGCGACCTCCTCATCCATGTTTCATTTTGCTCACACGCTGTGGAGTTGGCTGTCCTGGGCTCCTTCAGGTCCGCCTCTCGGCTGCCTACTGCCTTTGACATTACGCTGACGGATTTCCCCACAGCATGATCGCTCTTTACGCAGCTCCTTAGTAAGGCACCCGGCGTAGCTGGCTGTATTTCAGCAAAGCGGCAGTAAACAGAGGATAAACTCAAGTATTTGTCAAGGAGAAATTGAAGATGTATATTGCTGTTTGCTGTGAACATGTGACAGGTGTGTGAACTGTGTTCAACCAATGAACACTGTAACTGTTTCATTATTTGCTGCAGCCCCCCTCCCTATTTCCAAAAGCCTCACCATGTAACAGTCAGCAATAAAAGAGAGAATATAAATTATAAATTGAAACAGTTCTGCGACAATATTCCCTTCTTGAGACCATCTAGATATGTTAATAGTAAGTTGCAAATTCAGCAGATATGCTAAGCTAATAAGTAACTTTGCATATCTGCTGAATTGCTATATATTTGCAACATTTGCAAATATCTTTACCTGTGATACCTGTGATGGTAACAGTTCTGAGTCTAACTTTAATTCACGGTAGTATATCACAGGCCTATAAATGAAAACTTCATGAGAATTATTTCATTTTGATATTGACAACTTTGAACTTCCAGACATGTAAAGTGTTATGGAAAACAATAAAACAACTGTATTTTTTTTTTGAAGGGAAGTTGCCTTGTCCACTGAGGTTTCACAGCTAACGTTATATGTAAATGTGAGTATTTTTACTCATTGTTGTCACACAGCACCTTTGATCACAGGACATTATAATGATTAATTATAATATTTTAATCATACTTCTGATTATTGCATACTTCTGATCTGATTCAGTTCAGACTCAGGGCTTACTATAGACAACCAGTATTGTTTTATATCTGCCTTAGTGATTGCTTTTTTATCTTATCCCTTTTTAAAAAAAAAAGTCATTATTTCCAGGAGTAATACATTGATATTCTTGGCCTAGTTAGCAGGATTTTGGATTGTCGGCACAAAGAAAACATAATTTTATTGACGTCCTGGTAAGACTGTTTCTGTTTGGACACATGAGGGCAGTATGGGTTTGTCACACATGCTGACGTTTGCAGTGTGTCTTGACTCCTTGCTTTTAAATCACTTACCTCTAAACCTTTATGCTATTTGGTCTATATTGTAGACACTTGTACATAAAGTAGTGCACATGATGAAATGAGGCATCATAAGCTTAATGAGACCACAGTGTGTGGGTTGTTTTCATGACAGTATAAAAAATTTACTTCAAAACGTATTTGGCCAAGTATTGTATTAATTACATGATGTTTTAACTGTTAATTATGATAATTGACATAGCTGATATACTGTATATGTGTGTGTTTGATTATTCTGAGTGTTTTTATTGGACTTTGTACCATTGACCGGTAGGACTGTTTATATGAATAAACATTCTTTTATTACTGGAATTATATTTGCTTCCTCACTATCATGTGTGTGTTCCCAGATAAGACCTGAAGACTTTCCAATTATATGATGTCATAGTGATTTGGTCCGGATATAGATAGATAGATAGAATATAGGAGCTGATATTGACAAAAATAAAAATGACCTCAATAACCCAACTGATATGCTTGTCAGCTTTTTCTTATGTGCTATGTTGTCTTATCGTAGCTAAGATGTTTTTGTTTTTTAGTATAATACACTTAGTTATTTGGTATGTACAGATCAGACACATGACCAAAGATAACAAAAATATTTGGCACTAAAAGATTGGATGATATCCACTTGATGTTTCTAACTTATCCTATTGAAGCCTCATTTTATATCAATAAACTTTGGAAGGTTTTTGCATTGTGGATTTTGTTCCCCATCACCAACACTGGGAGAATGTTAGTAAGGAGTCTTAATGGCTGATATGAAGGAGGATATGGACGTTCCCATATGGGCATCTGACTATAGTTTTAAAACAGACTTAGTATAAGTACAACATTAAATGTGATTGAACATCCTCATTAGTATGTTTATGTACAGTTGCTTTTAAGTGGTGGTGTGGTTTTCTTACTGTGCCAGTATTTTACTGTTCTAGGTCTAGCAGGGTCAGTGCCTAATGTTCACTTCTTTATGAAAACACGTTTTTATTCCTTTATGGCACATATAAAAGGGCAGTTGTATTTCTCTAAAATGAAATTGTGAACTTTAACTGGACCTCAATCTGGATTGTTCAGTATTAATCTTAAATTACTGTTATAAAATGTATTTGTAAAAAGATTCAGCACATCACCAGTACTGTTTAGACTGAGTTGTGCATGTCTTGTGTCATTTTCTGCACATATAAAACAGTCAAGTACATTATTTTAGTATACATTAAATGCAAGAGTAGTCTAGTCTACTATAAATTAGTTTGTAGTTTGATTAGTTTGTACTGTACTGGTATTAGTATGGAATTAGGAGTTAGCTTGTGAGGTGTGCATAGCTGACATTTTGTCCTGATGGTTGGGCCCTACCGGGTCGCCAAAAACATTTGGATTCATCCTCTGAGAACAACGAATATCCACCACAGATTTTATGGAAATGTGTCCAGTAGTTGATTTCTGGCACAAATGAACCTTTCTTAAGGTGCATGGAGAAGGGGAATTGTCTACTTGTTAAAAATCCATTAGAAAGACTCAAGGCAACAAGCCAAAACAACAAGCTCTTAAACATGACTTGAAATTGAAACCTCTTGTTGAGGTTTCCAGTATGCACCGATCCTTTACTACTCTGAACATCCAGTCCCATATGTCCACAATCTCAGTGAGAAATTATACATCCTCAGCAGTGAATGAATATCAGGTATTGCATTAATACTCAAACACAGGAAATACTACGAAGTCCTATGTTGACTGAATGTTACTGGAAGGAAACATTTTTGCTTGGAGATCTGTGTCCAATGGATTGACGTGCCAACAGTCGTGCACATAGAATGTACATGAACATCCATTAACCTCCAGGTTGCTGCAAAATCAGCCAACCATGCATGCATCCTGACCAGGTGTAGATAAACAATGACTGCTGACATTCCTCTGCAACCTGTCAGTGGATCTTAAAGGAGGCAGGCTTGAGAAGATGTATGAAAAAGTGTTTTGTGAGTTGATTACACAATGTGGAGAAGAAAATCAGGAGTCAAGTAAATACATGTACTAAAGTCACTGTTCTAGGAAATTCAGTCGACTCTCTGTTGATGCATGGTTGGTACACTGCAGCTTTATTAGGACATCAGAATAACAAACTTCACAAACTTTAACCTTGTAAACCTTCTTTTAGACTTTACATGTAGTCCTTGCAATGTTCCATATGTATGTATATTAAATACATTTCTTGGAATGACGTGACTTCTATATCTCAGATGATCTCATTCATTGCCAGTGTGCTTTTTTTTTTTTACAACAAAATACATTTTGTTTTATTCAGAATCTCAGAGCTCTATTCTTCCATAGCAGCACTCCACCATCAGCACCTATGGACGTAGTATCCCGTCACGTAGCCTATGATGTAAATGGACACCAGTGCAGCCAAAGCTCCTGCTGTCTTCACTGCTATTCCAGTGCTGCCACTACACACTGTGTTGAAGATCCTGTGCATGTAACAGAAAGGGAGGCAGAGTCAGGTCAAACAGCCTTTGGTCAATCATTCTAACATTATTTTATGACCTGGTTTCCCCACATTCTCACTTTATTTTGACTATAAAGGTTTTATGAAGTTTATAGTACTATGGCATTCAACTGGTGTCAACTTTAAAAGGTAATTTTATGTCCTGTGACTTTAAATTAACCCTTGTCAACCCATCATACCCATATATCACTTTAGTCCATATATGTCTACGGTTTTACCTCCTCCACATTCCTATAACTGTGTATATTTCAGAAAAACAATATGAAAACTTTAATTGATCTTTATCTTTCTGTCAGCCATCCACTGCGTGTCTCAACCCCATCACAGTAGACTGTGATCCTCTCACGTTCATCGTGATGTTGCCTCGTTCCAGCGGTCAGTATTGCCACTGCCGGCATGTTGAGTCCCATGTGGGAAGTCCTTCCTCCTTCAGAGGTTTATTCTGGCGGCCTGCAATCACAGTTCACTCCACTGCTTCACTGCTCAGCCTGGACACTTAAAGTGTGTGCTCACACTGATGTATGTGTGTAGCAAAATGACTTCAACACTCTTACTCCATTAAGCATCAAAGACATCTTTACTACAGTAAAAAAAAAAAAAAAAATGTGTGTAGTAATGATGACTTGCTTGACATTCAAAATTAGTTTTGGTGCAAATGAATCACATCAATCAAGTATTTATAGTGTTTAACCAGACTATGAGCCAAATCAGACCATATTGAAATATTCAGATGAAATCATTGAAAGCAATGATTTGATGATTGTCACCCAAAGCAGCATTCAGTTCATATCTCCACATTCAGATAAACTTAATTTGTGCTCACCTGTATGAGTCTGAAACAGTCCACAACCTGCCTAGAAAGCTCTGCTTTGCAGCACTTTTAAAGGCACAACTGAGACTGAGAGAGTGGTGCCTCCTGCTTGGTATGAGACCTTGGCCATAGTTCATTTGTTCACGAAGGTCATCCTGTCATAAATCTGTTGGTTTTACTCCAGCTTTTGTCTTTGACCTCCTTATATGACTCTCTCAGAGATAAAGGGCAATTTAAACTCTGTGTGGTACAGTCTCCGGTTTCATCACATCCTGTGCAGATAGTGCAAAGCAAACTACTTATGTGGTGAAGATTTTCATGATACTCCCTCCCTTGCATGAAAGTGTGATTTGGTTAAACATAATATCACCATACGGTATCAAAGATTCTCTCAGAAGGTAACTACATGGATAACAGCGCCCTCTTCAGTTTACAGAAGTGAGGAAACGAAATACAGCAATCTCAGCTCTTCAGTGCTGAGCTCTCTCTCTCCAGTAAAATATCATCATTTGGTGATGTGTGTGTGCGTGTGCAAAGTTACAGTTACAAAATAATGAAATGAATACCTAACTATTCATACAATTGGAGACAATTAAGTTCATTTTCATAAACATATAAACATAGCAACATAAATCACAAAACCAACAGGACATTACAATACTGATACTGTCATATAAATAAATAAATAATTATAATTAAAAATATTGTACAAATGATAAAAGTAATCAAGAAACCCATATCCCATTACTATAACAATTATAAACATTAAAAAAAAATC